CAAGTTCCAGTGCTTGATTATGATTGGTTGAGCCATTGTAAATTATTCAAGATTTTTGTCGGATTTTGTTGTGAATTGTTTCTTCATGGGTGGGTTAAGCACATGCTAACCTTTTTATAAAAGCAATAAAACCCAGCGAAGCCATAGTTTACATTGAATTTAGAACAGCTAAGGGGTTTTAGACACTCTGCTCCTTGTCGTAAGAACACCCCTTATCTGTTGTAAATTCACTGTAAACCCCCGGCTTCACTGGGCTTATTGCTTTAATAAATAACACTAAAATAACACTGTGTATTTTGTATGTTTTTTCACATTTACATTAATGCTTCCACACATATTCCACTGTTTGCACATCTTACTTTGTCACACTTAAAGGGATAGTTCACCCAAAAATGAAAATTATGTAATTAATTACTCACCCTCATGTCGTTCCAAACCTGTAAAACCTTCGTTCATCTTTGGAACACAAATTAAGATATTTTTGATGAAGTCCGAGAGCTTTCTGACCCTCCATAGACCACAAGGATCCTAACACGATCAAGGCTCAGAAATGTAGCAAGGACATCATTAAAATAATTAATGAGACATCAGGGGTTCAACTGTAATTTGTCTGTCTCCTCCACGTCACCCTAGCACCATTTTGGAGAGCATCACATACGTAAAGAACATATGCTGTTCTGTGTCAGCAGCACCGTACGCGGATACACTTTTTACGTTGTTTACGCTTTGATCTGAATGTAAACAATGTATCCGCGTACATACGTTGCATACGTTGTTTACGTATGTGATACTCTCCAAAATGGTGCTATAGGGTGACGCGGAGGAGACGAATTGTTGAATAAAGTTGTTATTTTTGTTTTCTTTGTGCACAAAAAGTATTTTCGTAGCTTCGTAAAATTAAGGTTGAACCCCTGATGTCACATGGATTATTTTAATGATCTCCTTACTATGTTTCTGAGCCTTAAGCGTGTTAGGATCCTTGCTGTATATGGGAGGGTCAGAAAGCTCTCGGACTTCATCAAAAAATATTTTAATTTGTGTTCCGAAGATGAACGAAGGTCTTACAGGTTTGGAATGACATGAGGGTGAGTAACTAACGACAGAATTTTCATTTTTGGGTGAACTAACCCTTTAAGTGTACATATTGAAAAAAACATATTTTTTCTTGTTTTCAGGTTCATCTCAAGCCATTACACATGTTCTGGAGCTGCCTGAGAGGATACGCAGCTCTCCGGCGGTTCAACTGGCTCTGGCCGTGAGCAGAGCACATATGGAGCGCAACCCAGTTCGGCTGCTCCGTCTAGCCCAGAGACTGGACTTCATCCAGGTCTGTGCTGTCCACCGACACCTGCTGCCCTGCAGGACAGACCTGCTCCTGCTCTACAGCCACGGACACAGCAGCCGCAATTGCCGCTACCCGCTCCAGAGACTGGCACGCCTCCTCTTTCTGAAAGACGCACTGGCTGCGCAGCTGTGCCAGGTGTGTGGCGTAAACGTCACTGAAGAGTGGGTGAACTTCTCTAAGAGCTCCTTCATTGACGCTCCATCTGGAGATCTGCAGTGCAGACGTATGCATGAGCCGCTGGATGACGAGCTGTGGAACTGTTCTGCTGGCAGCGTGATTCATGGCTGTGTCTGAAACACACTGTTGTTCGTTTATACTGTTTGTTTCTCTACCTTTTATTTTTTGGGTCATGCCATGTTTGTATTTTTTTTTAATAGTAAATATTTCAGAACAATTTCCCACTTCTGAATTAGTCCAAAAACCTGTGAATTTTCAATAAAGCTTTCATTTTTTTGCATAAACTTGGCAAACTCAGGGTTTTTCGGTTGCCCGAGTTACACTCGTTCTAACACGCCCCCACATATCTACATCACTATGTGGGAAGATTTGCATAACGCCACCCAAATGTTCACGCAAAGAAAGAAGGCGTAACTTTTATTCTCGCTGTAATATTGTTGCCGCTGCCATGTCATGAAGGCACTGTGCGATTCGTTGTGAAAGCGAAACTACTTTGTTTGGTCTTCCAAAAGAGGACGATATCGCTTCGTCATGCCTGGAGCTGTTCCGTGCTGGTCGCTGAGGAAATACATCAACTTTGCGCTGTTGATCGCCGGATCAGCTTTCACCGTGGACGAAGCGGAGTCCAGCCCGGGGTCATCACATGTGGTTGCTGCAAGCCCTCCGGACGCTCCTTCGTCGAATCCGCCGCCTCTGCTCACTCTAGCCCTCTGGCCGTTCCTCACTTTATCCCCCGGCTTCTGCTCACTATAGGCCACCGTGTGTGACGCTTTGTTTCGTTGTGAAAGTAAAACTGCTTTGTTTGGCCTTCC